CACATCTCTAATCCTACCACTTTGGAAGCAGAGACATAGGACTGTTATAAATTCAAGGCCAGTCTATTATGTACAGAAAGTTCCAGGTCAATTAGGGATACAAAAGAACTTAGGTGAAACAGGAGGAGGGGAAGGGAGAGAGAGAAATGGAGGAAGGAGGAAAACAGAGGAGATGCGAAGGGATTAATTTTAATCCACTATTTGTTCACCAACTATATAAACTTATCTAATCAAATTATCACCTCAGCATGTAGTCAAGAACTGTAAACATTATTAATGAGGCACAAGCTCCTTCCTCCATAGACTTTCAATCCTGAGGGTCACTGTTGCTCTTTCCCTTCTCAAATTAGACTTGATACTATGGTAGTCAGCTCCTGTTCCAAAAAAGGTGGTGTGCCAGAGCAGGGTCAGAAAAGGGCATTTGCTGAAATTTCAGACTGAGAGACTGAGTGACTATAAGATGCTAATTTTATGTTTCAGGTCTGTTTTTTTTCATTTTCACAAATGTAAATGATAAAAAAAAAAGAGTAGAACTTCTGACTGAAGAGATTGCTCACTCAGAGGAGTCAATGAGGACCTATCTTCAGACCACCAGCACCCACTTAAAGGCCAAGTGCAGGAGTGTAGGCCTTCAACTTCAGCAATAGGAGACGGGAGAGGAGAGGGTCAGACACCTGGAACGCACTGGCCAATCAGTGTAGCTCTAAGTTTAGTGAGAGACTTGGTCTCAAAAAACATAAGGTAAAGAGTAATCAAGGAAGACATCAGACATTGACCTCTGACCTCTGCATGCATGATCACATGCACACGCACACACACACACACACACACCTGTCATTATTCAGTAAATTCTACTTGTCAATCACTGACTCACATCCAAGGCTATTAACTTATTTTACCCCTTGCCCCCATTTAAGGAAGTCTACAGCTAATATTAGGGAGTCATTTTTGACACGAGCAATTCTTTGCATACTTAATCCAGTAAAGTTTCATACCTACCACATATTGGAAGTCTAATTTCTCTCTTGTCCTTTCCCACCCTAGAGCATCTTGAGATCTCACATACAGAGAGAACATCATTTCCTTCCTCCAAGGGTAACCTTAGAGAAGTGGCTAGAGAGACAACTCAGTGGTTAAGAGTGCTTGCTACTCTTAGAGAGGACCTGAGTCCAGTTCTGAGCACTTAAGTCAGGCAGGTAGCAACTGGGAACCATCATTTCTGGCCTTTTCGGGCATCTGCACTCATGTACATATTCACACACTGATATTCACATATAACTAATTAGAAAATAATTTTTAAATTGATTTTTAAAAGCTAATTTTAATTGGTTATCCAATATCAAATGATTTCCCTTGGAAACATATATGCAAGTAACAACATACAGATTGAGCAGGTTCTATTTAACACTATGTGTGTTTGGGGGGGGGAGTATGCTATAACAGCAATTAATGAAAAAAGAGGTCATGCAATTGAAAAAGAGCAGGGAAGGGTGGGAGAGCAAATGGGACAGATGATTTGGAAGGAGAAAAAGGAAGGGGGAAAATAATGAAATTATATTATACTTTCAAATATAAAAGAAATACTATAAAAGAGACAATTTCAGAGATGTCACCAGAAGCCAATACTCATATAAATATCTCCTCTAAGCAGAAGAGAGGTGTCTCTACTGAAGCCCTAAGAAGAAAGAAGGTAGGTGTATAATGAAGTGCTTTTAAAGAGTGATGGGTTTGTGACTGTCTTTCTGGGTCACTGAAGTTGTCTTCTGCCAGTTCCTTAATGTCCATACACCATATTTTCTTTATTTTGGTAAAATGCATATAACAAAAGTCCATGTATTTTTGTTGTTGTTGTTGTTGCTGCTGCTGCTGCTGCTGCTGCTGCTGTTGCTGCTTGCATGAAAAAGCCACAAGCCTCAGTTTTTGAGACAAGGTGTCTCATTGGACCAGGGGGTCACACACCCAGTTTGACTGGCTTCCCTAAGGAGGCTTCTATCTGTGCTACTCCACCACTGAGAATTTTAGACAGGCAAATGCCACCTTACCAGTTTTACATGTAGGCTGGGCATCCACACTGACATTCTCACACTTTTGTGGCAAGCCCTTTACTGACCGAGCAATTCAGTCCCTTATTGTTTGTTTCCTGAGACAAGGTCTTGCCATGCCTTTCAGTCTGGTCGTAAACTCACTATGTAGCCCTTACTAGCCACAGAGTCAAGATCTTTCTGCCCTGGTCTCCCAAGAACTGAGGTGACAAGTGTACATCCCCACCACACCCAGTTTAAATTTTACCACTTGAAAATTAAATGTCATTAAGTGCATTTAAAATGTTTTGCAGCCATTCCCCTATCTAATTCTAGAATTATTGCATCACTCAGAGAAAAACAAATTCCATATCCTTTGCGCAATAATTCTTCTCACACCCTACATCAGGTCTCTGTATCCCCTAACATGCTGCTTCTTGTATACTTAACTATTCTGGATATTTGTTATAATCTGAATAATGTATCATATGACATTTCATGTCTGGATTCTTTTGTGTTATACCTTTAAAGCATATCTGTCATACCATGTGCTAGTTCTTCATTATGTTGGTTTGCTTTTAGAGAGAGTCTCATTGTATATCGTATAAAATACAGGCCTCAAACTTAGTAATGCTCTTCCCACTGAGCAACTGCCTCAATCAGATAGGGCTGTAGACCAGTTGTGTGTCATTTTCTTGAATTGATATAGGAAGGCTGGAGAGATGGCTCAGAGGTTAAGAGTACTGGTTATTATTCCAGAGGTCCTGAGTTCAATTCCCAGCATCCACGCGGTGGTTCACAACCATTTATAATGAGATCTAGTGCCCTCTTCTGGCATGCAGGCATACATGCAGGCAGAACACTCAATACATAATAAATAAATTTTTAAAAATTTGATGTAGCCAGGCAGTGTACCAGGCAGTGGTAGCACACGCCTTTAATCCCAGCACATGAGAGGCAGAGGCAGTTGGATCTCTGTGATTTCTAGGCCAGCCTGGTCTACAAAAACTAGTTCCAGGACAGGCACTGAAGCTACACAGAGAAACCCTGTCTCAAAAAAAAAATTTTTGATGTAGGAGGACTCAGCTTACTGTGTGTGGTGCTACCCTTGAGCGGATGGTCCTCTTTTATACAAGAAAGCGTGCTGAACAATCCACAAGATCAAGCCAAAAGACAGTACTGCTCCATGGCCTCTGTTTCAGCTACTGCCTCCAGCTTCCTGCCTTGACTTTTCTTCATTATGGAGTATAAAATATTTACTGAAACAAACCCTTTTCTTCACAAATTGTTGTTGGAAGGCAAACTAGGGCAGGTTGTCTTTATATTCTAGCTATAACGAGAAACACGGTTGTAAAATGTGTGTACAACTCGTGCTTGAACACAAGTTTTTTTAACCATATCTTTTATTTATTCTTCAACAGCTGCATACACAATCACCTTCACACTCTTGTCCTTATACACCACCCAACACACACCCCTCTGCCACCATGTCCTCTTTTTCTGCTTTTAACAGTCCAGTAAGGACTGCCTGCTGGAATATTGACCCATCCTGTTGGCTTGATCTTGTGCTGAAGTGTTGAACACAAATTTTATCTACTGTTGTAGTACGGAGCGGCGGGCTGTGTCCCGCCACCCAGCTAGCTTTACCCGAAATAATTACACGGAAACTGTATTCTTTTAAACACTGCCTGACCCATTAGTTTCAGTTTCTTATTGGCTAGCTTTTACATATTGATCTAACCCATTTCTATTAATCTGTGTAGCCCACGAGCTGGCTTACCAGGAATGATCTTAACCTGCTTCTGTCTGGAGTGGGAGAACCATGGCGACTCCCCGACTCAGCTTCTTTCTCCCAGCATTCCGTTCTGTTTACTCCGCCTACCTAAGGGTTGGCCTATCAAATGGGTCTAGGCAGTTTCTTTATTAATAAGAAATCACTCCCACATCAATCTACATGTTTTTCATCCAGTTTTGAGGGTGTCCCCCCCACCCCTTGTAAGTTAAGGATCTACATCAGCCAAGTAGTTGCCTTGGAGTAGAAGGCATATTAGCAATTGTGGAAACATAGGCACTACCTTCCCCTATCTGGTAAAAGGTTAACAACAGCCAGGCAGTGGTGGCACATGTCTTTAATCCCAGCACCTAGGAGGTAGAGGCAGGTGGATCTTTGTGAGTTGGAGGCCATCCTGGTTTACAGAGCTGGTTCTAAGACAACCAAGGCTACACAAAGAAATCCTATCTTGAAAAACAAAAACAAGCAAACAAAAAAGAGAGGTTAACAACATGAGTAAGCATGTCAGGCAGTGGAAACTTACTCTAGCTTGGGTGTGAGGGGCTCAGAGGGAAAATAGATTCAGTACAATAAAGGCAAGGAAAACTGCCTTTCTTGGCATTTTCAAAGATCGGTACTGAAGAGATGGCTCACTAGTTAAAGTGCTTACATACAAATGTGAAGGCCAGAGTTTGGATCCCAAAAAAAAACATGTAAATGTCATTTGGGCATAGTGGTTTACCAATAATTCCAGTCTCAGAAAGTGGAGAGAGCCAATCCCCAGAGTAATCTGCCTACCAAGGTTAGCCATTGCTCTGAGTGCTGGGTTAAACTGAGGGACCCTGTCTCAATGAATAAAGAGGAAGAGTGGTAGAGGAAGATGCCTGCCATCAACCTCAGGGAATCACATAGGTGTGCACATATGCACGAATTCATACGAAGAAAACATTCACTCATAGTAAATGAAAAGAAAACTAAAGCCAGGCATGGTGGTAAACACCCTTCATCCCAGCAGGCAGAAAGAGGCACGCAGATTTCTGTGAGATTGCATACACTTTTGTCTATAGAGAGAGTTCTAGGCCAGAAAAGGAGTGTACTGAGACTCTGTCTCAAGTAGAACAGAAAAAGTTAAATAAATAAATAAATAAATAAATAAATAAGCAAACAAACAAATATCCCTGTTTCTTAATGCTCTAGGTGTGAACAACATGGACTCCAACATCTCTCTTCTCATGAATATGTCTTCAGGGAACCCCTTGAGTATGTCTGCAAGGACCCAGTCAGTATCTGCAGGTCATATTGCTCTGAATGTCTTCTCATATTTGATGTTTGCAGTGACCTTTGTCCTTGGCGTGCTGGGCAACGGGCTCGTGATCTGGGTGGCCGGCTTCCGCATGGTACGCACAGTCACCACCATCTCTTACTTGAACTTGGCAGTTGCGGACTTCTGTTTCACCTCCACTTTGCCATTTTTCATTGTCTCCAGGGCCATGGGAGGGCACTGGACATTTGGTTGGTTTATGTGCAAGTTCATATTTACCATAGTCGACATAAACCTGTTTGGAAGTGTCTTCCTGATCGCCCTCATAGCACTAGACCGCTGTATTTGTGTCCTGCATCCGGTCTGGGCTCAGAACCACAGAACCGTGAGCCTGGCCAAGAAAGCAATCATTGTACCCTGGATTTGTGCTTTTCTCCTTACCTTGCCAGTTATCATTCGTGTGACCACAGTTCCTAATATACTTGAACCAGGGAAAACAATGTGTACTTTTGACTTCTCCCCCTGGACCGAAGACCCTGTAGAGAAGAAGAAGGTGCAAGTCACCATGCTTACTGTCAGAGGGATCATCAGGTTCATCATTGGGTTCAGCACACCCATGTCTATTGTAGCCATTTGCTATGGGCTCATAGCCACTAAAATGCACAGGCAAGGCCTGATCAAATCCAGCCGTCCCCTGCGGGTCCTTTCTTTTGTTGTGGCTGCCTTTTTCCTCTGCTGGTGCCCATATCAGATAGTGGCCCTAATAGCCACAATCAGAGTCCGTGAAGGCCAGAATGGTATAACTCCAAACCTCATGGTTGCAGTGAATGTCACAAGCGCCTTGGCTTTCTTTAACAGCTGCCTCAACCCAATACTCTATGTCTTCATGGGCCAGGACTTCAGAGAGAAACTAATCCACTCCCTGCCAGCTAGTCTAGAGAGGGCTCTAAGCGAGGACTCAGCCCAGACCAGTGACACAGGCACCAACTTGAGCACCAACTCCTCTCTACCTTCTAAAGACAATGTACAAGCAGTGTGAAGAGAGAGCCCCAACGTTAAGCTTTATCTGCTTTCAGTTCCCGTGTGCTTTGTATAGACATTCCCTGTTGACCTATACACTCATTAGAAAAAACCTGAAATGAATTTTTGGACTTTTATTACCTCAACCCAAGATAGTCAATAAAGAGAAAAGGCAAAAAGAACATACATTTTCTTGTTAGTCTGAGATACTTATAAATGACAGTTAGTGCTATAGTGTTGTTACTAATACTATCCACCTCTAGTCCCCTCACAGGATGTAAACCCACAAATTCTCCTAAGTGTCCTTCTGTGGCTAATGTGTGTATGTTTACTTTAGAAAATGAAGGAAGAAGGGGAAAGACTCCTAACCCTTGAACTGCACAATTTCCTGATCCCTTGTGTTGAAATATTTTAAATAATTGAAATATCATGTCACTTGCCCTCATAAGACCAGTGTTTTCCCTCATGGCTTTCAGGATAGCTACAACCAAATTAGCCCAGTTTGTACAGTATCTGGTATTTGAAGTACCTGCTCCAAGGTGAATGAACCCAGAACGGTACTCCAGGTTTTACTGTCAGCAACAGTGAATAAGTGCCACCCAGCACACACCACCATCCCACCAGCAGCCCCCCACCACACACCTGGGTTTGTTGTCATTTGAGTTCTTTTGATCTTGACCACTCTGACTTGAGTAAGATGAAATCTAAAAATAGTTTCCTGCTAGATAAGGATTTTCAACATTCATTTCAATGTTTTGTAACCATTAGTAATTCCTCCTTTGAGAAATCTGTCTTTAAATTGGGTTGTTTGCTTTCTTGATGTTTAGCTTTTTTATTTTTATTTTACTTATTTGATTTTTAGCTCTTTGTATGTTTTAGATACTAATCTGCTGTCAGATGTCCAGTTGATGACGATTTCTTTCCATTCTGTAGACTGCCTCTGTACCTAAGTGCTTATGTTCTTTGTTGTATAAAAGTTTTTTTTTTATATAAAAGTTTTTTAGTGACATTGGGTCCCATTTATTTATTGGTGATCTCAACACCTGTACTTTAAGGTTCTATTTTAAAAGTTTTTCCTATTCCAATGAGTTCAAGTGCATTCCTTGCTTTTTCCTGTATCAGATTCACGTCTCATGTTGCAGTCCTTAAACCATTTGGAGCTGAGTTTTGTGCAGAGTGAGAATAAGGAATCAGCTATTTTCCTCTACATGTGGCTATCAAGGTTAGCCAGCACCATTTGTTGAAGATGCTTTCTACTGCAGTGATTATTGTGGGATTATTGAGAGATTATTGTAGGTCTGCAGTCAGTTTCAGTGATCAATGGGTTTGCTTTGAAGCCAGGGACAGGCTGTTTTTATTAGATCTGTACAGATCTGCAGCACAGCTATATAGTGCTAGGAGGTGCTATGCATGCCACTAGAAAGGAATCAGCAGGCTTATCCATTGGTGAGCACTGAGAGCTCAACTAACAACCATTCTGACAAGTCATATCCATTGGTACAATACTGGCATAAACATCACGAGATTAACCAGCAACATTTTTATTGGATTTAAAGCCCACTACAAAAATCAAAACCCGTATCTGCCACCATGATCAGAGCCATGAGCCTCTGACTAGAGAGGTTATAGGCCCTAGAGGAGAACCTTCGACTGCTATTCTAATTAGACATAGTGTTAACCAACTAGTAGTGAGTATCATTCTACACACAGAGTAGTGCATCTCTCAGCTCTCATCAGAGAAGGTTCATTTTCCTGGAGATAATAAGGACTACAGAGATCCGCAGTTGGTTAAGATGTAGAAAATAAGAGACTAATGAATGCTCAATCCCAAATGGAAAATGTATATCACACGCAATCCTCTCAAGGTTCAGGGGATCATTGTGAAACAGAGACTGTGTTAGGGAACAAAAAGATTGTAAGAGTCAGAGGTGGCAGCTGGCTACAAGGAAATAGTGTTTTCTGGGCACCACAGGGCAGTTGCACATACAAAGCTACAGGGTTTATGATGCCCATGCAAGCTAAAGCCAAACCAAATCTCAGTATGGAAAGGAGAGGTGAGCATGAAGTACTATGCCTAACTGAGGATCTACTGGCAATTGGAAGATTGTAGGAGTGTCTTTCTTTAAGGCTTGATCTCTGGAAGATCAACCATGCTCCACTGGAAGGCCACATATCACAGAGTATGTGATTTATTATATTTATTGGATGGGCTTTTTTAAAAAGAAATAAGAGGTGGCTGGAGAGATAGCTGAGCAGTTAAGAGCACTGGCTGTTCTTCCAGAGGACTTTCTTTCGATTTCCAGCACCCATATGCCAACTCACAACTGTCTGTAACTCCAGTTCCAGAAGATATGATACCTGCACACCAATGCACATAAAATAAATTTAAATAAATTATTTTTTAAAAAAGGAAATAAGAGGATGCAAAGCCAAGTAGGGAGGGGGAGGGGAGGGAAGGGAAAGGAAGTGAGAGGAGAAGTTCTGGAAAGAATTAGATGATAGGATAAATATGCAAAGTATATTGCATGAAATTCTCAAAGAACTAACAAAGAAATGGGAAAAATAAAATTTTCCAAGAAAAAAAAAACTGAGGAAATCCTTGATTTGCAACCAAGTCAGACAGATGTGTATTTAACTCTATGAAAGCCCATTTGTGGGGAGGGGGAGAACAGGGTCTCATACATTCCATGTAAAAGATGACCTTTAACTTCTGTGTGCTTGTGTGCGTGCATGCTTGCATGTCTGTGTCTGTGCGTGTCTGAGTCTGAACATGCATCTGGATGCCAGACGTCAATATCAGATATGTTCCTCTTTCACTCTTTGCCTTATTTTGAGAAAGAGTTTCTCAGTGAATCCAGAGATTAACAATTTACTGGACCAGACGGCCAATGCACTCTGGAGTTCTGCTTGTCTTGGCCATCTCTAGGTCTGGCATCATGCATCGTGGGTGCGCACTGTCCTTACTTTTTAAAGACTTTCTGGAGATCTGAAATCAGGTCCTCATGTTTCTATAGCAAGCATTTACCTCCTGAGCCTTTCATCTCCCTCGGTCCATGAACAGGTCATCCTGCCTGCATGTTAGGATTAAAAACACATCACCACACCTGGTTTGTGTGGTGCTGGGGATGGAATGCAGAGTTTCCTGACTATCAGGAAGCAGGCTACTAAAAGACTGATATCCCTAGCCCAAGGGTACTGAGCTGTTAACTCAGTAATTAGCATCTCTAGGCTGCCCTAAACCCAGGGTACAGTATCAAAGTTGAATCAAATAGTACAGCTCTGCGAAGGTATACAAACACACACACACAAAGGAGAATTGTTTAGGACATACATCTGTTTACACAAGTGCTATAAATAAATAGGATTTTTCCCTTTAGTTCCCATCTCAGCATAATAAAACAACAGCCAAAGTGAAGAATACCATGAGAACGGAAGCTTGGTTATGGTGAACTGAGAATGTAAAGAGTTTAGGACTGAGGGGAATGGGCGGGACCTTATTTCCATGGGGTTCTATCTTAACCACTAGTTGTACTGACACAGTAAAACCACATCCCTTGCTATTTGAAAATCAGATAGAAACCTACTTCCTATTACTCAAGTAGCCCTACACTTACTTCCCCCTTTTTTTCCTCATTTCTGTTCAGAAATCCCTGAAGATTGAGACACACTCTACAGATGACCACATCCCAGAGAAACCACAAAGTTAGATCAGGAGGAAAAAGTCTGTGTCTGACATATATATTCCTAGAATAAAGAATTAGGATGACTTGAAGAGGTGACGGGAGAGAGACGTCCAGACTCCTGGAATTCAGGGCTTCATCTCTCTGAACTTCTGTCTTTTGGTTTGTAAAATGAATGATTGGCCTGTAGGCAGGTCTGCAGGGCACTTTCTTAATTGATGATTGATGTGGGAGGGCCCAGCCCACTGTGTGCAGTGCCACCCCTGGGTGAGTAGTTTTGGATTGTATAACAGGAAAGCTGTTCAGTTGGAGAGACAGCTTAGTGATCTAGAGTACCTGACTGCTCTTGCAGAGGACCTGAGTTATATTTCCAGCAACCACATGGTGATTCACAAACTTCTATAAGTCCAGTTCCAGAAATTCCATTGACTCCTCCTGGCCTCCTCAGGTACCAAGCACACGCATGTGACGTACATACACAAAACACTCATATTCATAAAATAAAATGAGTGGATTTTTTTATTATTTAAATCACTGCTTGGACCAATAGTTCTAGCTTCTTATTGGCTAACTCTTATATCTTAATTTAACCCATTTCTAGTCATCTCTGTATTGCCATGAGGCTGTAGTTACCCGGTAATGTTTCAGCATCTATATCTGGTGGAGTTGCATAGCTTCTCTCTGACTCTGCCCTTCTTTTTCCTAACATTTAATTTAGTTTTCCCCACCTACCTAAGTTCTGCCCTGCTATAGGTCCAAAGCAATTTCTTTATTCGTTAATGGTAATCACAGCATAGACAGGGAAATCCCACAATGCCTCCTTTTTCTGTTTCAATAAAAAGTTATATAAATCTTATTTCTTTCTTTATTGGGAACAGTTTTACTTTAGAAGTAGAATTTCTATTAGAAGCCAAGAAAGAGAAGCAAGGAATGGCAGACACACAAAGGAAAAAAGTCTACTTTGTGAAATATCCCACTTCTAGAAGCCAATACCTGATTTTTTTTATATAAATTGAATTATGCTTGCAGTTTATCCACTGTGAATAACACTTCCAAACAGTGTAGAAACAGAAAGAGGTAGAGAAAAGGTTGAAAACTCTGCATTCGGGGATAAAAATCCTTAAATGAAGTGAGCCTTTAAAAAATTAATAAGGAGCCACACATGAAATGTGAAAGGAGCGGTTTATGTTAAATTTAGCCTAAAACACAACAAAATTCTTCCATCTCGTTATATCAGTATAAATGAGATAAAGAGTCAGAAACTATCTGAATCATTACTGGTCCTTTTCTTAATTATAGAGATTCATATATTTATCTGTGTGTTGGAGATAAGTTTTCC